AAAGCTACCCCTTAGTCTCCCTGAGATGCTTTACATCTGTGGACTTGAGACTAAGGGAAACTTAACAGAGTAGCAATACATCTGCAGGGTACCATCCACAGCTTCAGAAAGACATTCAAAGTGCATATTCTCTGCATTGTGGTGATGACAACTTGATAAAATCATACATGCCAGTTGGCTGAAATTTCACTCAGCAATGTTGTGGGTCCATGTTGGACACTTTTTTGACATTACAATGTCTGGGATGTTAAGTTCTTATGCTCATTCAGCTTACCCTGGTCTTGTATTGAATAAGGAAGCTCCAAGAGAGGGGGAAATATGGTCATGTCACTCTTTCCGGAAAGTGGGGATCCAGAGAGTGGGGTGGGAGATTTGTTTTCTCCTGCTAATGTTAAGCCAATATCCCAGGTTTCTGATAGCTCATTATCCTAAAACACAGCCAAAAAAGAAAAAAAAAAAATCAACACAGGCTCGGTCTCCGATAACTTAAAATTATGCACACCAAGGTAATTTTGAAGTTCATGTGGGTGGGACAGCTTTTTGGTAGTAAGAAGTACTTACAAGACATAGGCTGGAACTCTGGACTCCATCTCAAGGGAGAGAGTGGTCTTTATTGGCTACACTCACCCATTTAGGAGGCATAAAAAAGCAAAACAAAATCAAGATTTGGAAACATGAGATGGACAGAGCAAAAGAAGTCTTAATAAATTCAATTCCAAGAAATAGTTCTAGCCTATGAAGACAGAAAGGTGATACCCAATGTCACTGGAGACTGGGAACCAAAAATCAGTTTCCTGAGTTCTAAAAGTTGTATCTTACTAGTTTAGCAAAGGGAAAATACATTCAAGTGCATTCATACTATAAGTGAAGGGTCTTAAGGGGGAAATGCTAATACGAATGTAACTCCAAATTGCTTTTATTGAAGGTGAAGTTCAGGGTTACATCTCTAACCATTCCTCCCTTGCACTGTAACTACAGCCTTGATAAACTATTTCATATTCCCCTTACCTGGAAAGTGTAGTCATCCTGCAACCATGCATGGAAACACACACACACACGCGCACACACACACACACACACACACACACACACACACACACACTACCTTTCTTCTAGCTAATATCTTCTGGGTCTTAGCTTAGATGTTATTTTCCTCAGGACGCCTCCTGCAATATCACCAACACCATCTCCCACAGACTCAACAGCAGCAGTCCAGGTCACTCTGTATGGAGTTGCCTATCTACCTGTCTGCATCTTCTGCTAAGACTCGAAGTTCCTTGATGGCAAGAGCTTGCTGTCTTGACCATTACCGTATCCTTAGGGGCTAGCACAACACCCACCAAGGATTCAGGGGCTCCGTGTAAATCTGCTGAATGAACATTGGGATTTTGCTGTGTAGAGCGCGCGTCCTGTCACCATCAAGGTTCCAAAGTGTGTTCTTTCCTGAAACAGATTTGCTAAGGGAAAAAGAGTGCCGATTAGGTCAAAGAGCTGTGAAGCTGGCTCTGTGGCTAGTGTCGCTTGCTTGTCATGGTAACTGGGAGTGTGGCTCACGGAGTGCGCTGACCCTCTTACACAGCAGCTACTTGCCCCGTCTCTTTCTCCCTGCTGATCAGAACCTGCCTCTCTGTCCAGAGGCAGAAAATGCCAAATATTCTCTTTCTCAGGCTCCCCTGAAACATGTGACTCAACTGTAGACAAGGAAATGTAAGGAGAATTCTACTAAATATTTTTCACCTTTCAAACACGGATTCTGGGAACTCTCCTCTTCCTTCTTGCTGCTGGAAGACATGAGGGAGCTCTCTTTAGATGGAGGCAACAAGCCTGAGAATGAAAGTTAGTATGCTAAGGGGGAAAAAAGCCAGTGACATCATAGAATGGTTGTGGGAAAGCTGGCTCTGTAACCTTAAGAATTACTGCTACATCTGATTGTCAATGTCTTTACTATTTGGACCCCTGTTGATCGGGAATGTTTTATAACTTACAGATGAACACATTCTAACTATATCACTAAGGAACATGCAAACTTTCCTCTGTGACATCATATAAGACACAGTATTCCAAAAACCAGTTATAAACAGGCAGGTGGGATTGGGACAGCCAGGAGCCAAAATCTTTATTTGAAGAACTAAAGACAGGAAAGGATCATCTAATGATGAAATCTTTTGGCTAAAGATGAAAACCACGTGCTCCTATTAGAGAAGGACAGTATGTTTGTCTACATTGGAGGAGAAGCATGAGAGGGTAGATCGGAGGATACTTGCCTATTCATTTTGGCATCTTTATTTGGAATTGGCTAATGAAATGATTTTACGGACAACTACCTGCCTAGGAAGCTCTCAATTGTCTGGTAGTAAAAAAAAAAATGTTCGAAAACCATATGTATTTTTCCAACAATAAATCTTTGGAGGGCAGGAAGGAACCAATGAAGGGGACCCCTTATGTCTGGGTGGTTACTTACAGACGCCATTCATATCGCTTTCCGACTTGACCTACGTGGAATCCAGCCCCATTCACTCCATCTCTTAGAAAAAACAGTGTCCATTTGTCCACACCAGTTCTCAACAGAACATATTTTCCCAATTGTACTTACTAATTTATTATTAAATATGATATTGCATATTAGCAATTTGACACAATACTCATTGAAAAGTATAGAGACATCATTCAGTACTTTCTGAGGAAGTCACAGCCTCCTTCAAACCAGAGAGGACAGATTACAGCAAACAGAACACAGACACATTGACATGAGACACAACACCTTCCGCAGACACCTTCTCCCACCAACAATACTCCTTTTTTCCCATGTTCCCCAGCAGTTTCAGGAGGTTTTGCCACATGGTTTGGCTCCAAAGAGCCGCTCCCAGCAGCAGCCACAAAACAGCTGGGATGTAGGTTTCTATATATTCACAGATCGGATCTGACTCTTTGTGGTGTTGCTTAGTGCAGGTGTGAATAGCTATGGTTTATGATCATGCGGGATCTGGTCTTATTTTCCTACACAAACCGCAGAGCTAGGACTGCGTGGCTTGGAAGAGACGGCAGCGAGTGAGCAAACATGTTTCTGTGGGTTGTTTGGGGCCAGGGGTCCTGGTGGACGGAGGATGGGTGAGGAAGGTTCAGCACCAAAGCAGTGCCGTGTCTGGCTCGGCACTGTTGCAAGTCATCAACAGGCAATCACAGACCCACTGGGGAGCGTCAGTGGGAGGCATGGAGGTAGTGAGAAATAATTCAAAAGCTCTTCTGAATCATGAGACATGCTTTTTAAAATCTTATCATCCGTTCTAATGTCATTTATCTGTCTAAGGTCAACTACTTTCAGAATTCCCTGCTTCTCAAAGCCTCTGAACTGTTTATACTAAACACCGTGTGTGCTTAGGGGAAATGACCACTATTCTTTGGAATCCCGATTAGCTAATTCTCCAGCAGGGAGCCCCCACAGAACCAGAACCCTGGCCCATCAGAGTGTCCCAGGTCCACTCCAATGCGATACAACGTGTTCGGTCATATATCAGTGAACACCAGGATTATGGTTCTTAGTATCAGGACTATTTTCAAGCCCTAAAGTTTGTTTTTGAAATAGACGGTGATTTTTCCCCCTAAAATTCTAAAGCTTTTACCTACATACAAAAGCATGACTTGGTTTTTTGAAATTTACTTGGTAGCCTAGGAGCCAGCGTCTCATTAACTTGGATAATTTTAAACAGAATCAGTACTTCTGGGCAATCAATATCAGATTGTCATATCTCATTCTTCCAGACACTGGGCTGGGTATTTCATAATGCCCCCAAATAACTATGAAAATAGCTTTTTCCAAATTGTCTGGAGCCTCTTTCCCCTTAAATTAGAGCATCCAACCCAGATTATATATAAACTAGCACTTGGAGATTACGGCTTTTTAAATGTCTTCCAGAATTTATATACTGAATTGAGTGTATTGAATTTATATACTAAACATTCTCCATTGAAACAGTCCCCTTTTGACACTTACACATTCATCCCAAGTATGATCACAATAATTGTCAAGGCCGGGCACTAGTACAATACTGGGTATGTAGGTCTTAGTAAATATCCTGTGATTGAACAGGTCCATGAGTAAGTGCATGACAAAAGAACAGATAAATGAATTTAGAGCTTGCCTTTTAAGGACCCCCTTCCAATCCAGTAACACTTTTGTTTTAAATATCTCCACTAATGGCAAATCTTGTGTTTTGGGGGTGAATGTGATTAGTGAAAACAGTCAAAATCCCTTAGAACCAGTCTTGGGAATAGGAGACACAACTCGAAGGGATAAGGGCAGTGAGGGAAACACAAGATATGAACAAAATATTACAGGTCTGACTTTCTCGTGATTGGCCTCAGAAGGCAATGCCAGAAGGAATTTACCAGTATTACGAGTCCTGGATCAGGCACACTGACTCCAGGATAATGTCTTTGAGAGGCTATGCTCAAGATAGAAGAGGTGGCATGCTCATTTCCGCACTAATTTTCACTAATTGGGCGTATACATTGATAGTCAATGTTTATATATTTTTAAGCGTGATGGGGGCAAGGGGTGGGGGGGGTTCCTGGACACTTTGATAATCTTAAATCCGCGAAACTTCATTGCTCCCATCTGCAAAAGAAAGAATCAAAGTCCACAATCTCTTTAATCTTCCCCAGCACTAACAGTCAACAATTCTGTACATAAATAGTTGTACTATTGTTCACGCATCTGCAAGCACTCTCCCTCACTTTTCAGAGGCTTCCTACTGAGGGGATATGTTTCTTCAAACAGACGTAAGGGAACTCATGCATTAGGGTTAGACCATCAGGCATGCAAAGCTCCTAGAGCAAAATGAACGGGACCCCCGCACACACCCACCTCAGTCCTACTCGCTGTTAACTACCTATTCCCCAATAGGGACAATTATCGAAGTCATCATCACAGTGTACATTCATGTGAAATCATTTTTGTAAATCAGCGAGTGTAGCTGCTGTTTCAATGACCTTTCAACTGTTCACCAAGCAGTTACTACTTCAAAGGTAGAAGAAGCACTTTCAAATGGAAGGATGACCGCCGGCTTGAGAAATTCCTGCTTCCGACTGTGTCCGAAGTATCTTATTCTGTAGCTTCCAGGCTGGGCGGTGTCTGGAATGTGCCATTGTATTGTGACATTGCTGTGACCCAGCAGCCCCTTGTGCCAATAGAAACTGTTGGTAGAAAACAAACAAGCCAACCGAGGTTTACTCTTAAAAATGTATGATTTGAAAAATGAATGAACACTCAGGGAGTACTTAGCCTAACCAAGGCACTAGCCCGGGTATTGGGAGTATAGCAAAGAACAAAACAGGGACAGATACTGACTTTCTAGAAGGGACCTTTTAGGAAATATTCATTTGTAGAAATAGTCCCACTTGTTCTACTTTTCTAACTACCCAAACACTGTCCATCCCAAGGAGCCTCCCTCGCCTGATACTCAGAATACAGGACATCTCTTGTGTGAGAACTGATAGAACATTCTGTTTGCCCTTGTCATCCTGTGTCAACTGACACTGAAAACTCCCATCTAGATTCATTTGTTAAAAGTGTATATTTAATGACTGCCTGTGCCAGACTATTCTAGGTCTGAGGATACAGTAGTGAGCAAGACAGGAATGGCCCAAAGTTCCACGGAGCGTCTTCTCCCTGGGGCCAGGCGGGGGAAGAAAAGGCAATAAACCAGAAATCGACAAATGATCTTAAAAGTGCTAGGCAATGAAGCAAGTAGGTAGTAAGCAAGTAAGTAAATGAAGCAAATAAGGCAGAGGTATCTCTATGGAGATGTTATTTAAACTGAATGCACAGTGCCCGGAGGAAAGACATTCCAGGCAGAAGGAACCGAGAGGCAAAGTGGCTTCAGCGGGAAAGCACGGGGTACGGTAGAGGAACAGAACCCTCTGGTAGGATCAGAGCGTGGTGAGGTGTGGCACAGTGGCTGGGTTTACAGAAACAGATGGAGTCAGCTCATATGGGTCAGTGCAGACCACAACACAGAGCTCAGATAACCCTGCTAGTGAGATACAACCGGCTAACTGACTGAGGTCCCCAGCTGTGTGCTGAGTGAGTGCTCTGGGCAGACGGTGTTCTCAACCTTCTGTGTTTTTCAGGGATGGGCCCAGTGCTCTCACGACAGGCGCGACGATACTGCTGCTACGATACTGCTGCTGGTGGACAGGACGGAAGCCTATCTGTGTCCTCAGTGTTCACTGCTATTCTGATTTGGGGCTTTTCAAAAAACAAAATCATTTTTTATTAACTGTATAGTCTTCTTTTAACCATAAATATGTATTTATTGTTAGTTTAAAAATGACCTATGCCCTAGAGTCCTAAAGATCAGAGGAAAATATCTGCCATATTTATGGGTGATTATCAAAGGGGCAACCGTGTGGTCAAACCTGGATTTCCAGTTAACCGTGGGAAGGAAACCAACATGCAACCCGTCACTTAGCTGAAGGCGATCGGAATTCAACACAAATTCCCAAAACCTCTGACCACTTGTGCAGTGTGAAATGTAGACAATTGGGAGAAGAAACGTTCTCTTATTTCGGACACAGTTTGCAAATCTTCAAAATATGCCTTTGGCTCAAATGAAGGATCCTTGGGCAGCTATATACAGATGACACACTTTGAGTGTAGACTGGTGATTGTCCCAGAAGGAGCATCAGGCTCTGTGAAGCCACAGCCCACCCCCAGTGCCTTTCGGCCAGTGTGTAGGAAGCCTCGGCAGTCTGCAGGAGCAATGTCTGTGGCTGCGGAAGGAAACCGAACTAACAGATGTTTACAAAGATGGAGGCCATAACCTCATTAGCACCTAATCTGCCAGAAGCACACACCACCATATTTTGCAGAAAAACAGAATCCAAATGAAGTCTAATAAATCAACTAAATATGGCCAGAAGGATCCTTGGGAATTTGATATCATTAATATCATGCATGGAGCTGGGCTTCCCATTTGTCTTCCCTGCATTACTAACCAGCTGTTGTCAAGGCTTGAAAGACAAAATATGCAACAGACATGCTCACCGAGTCTCCCAGGAGGCATCGTTATGCACTGTCCACCATGATTCTGAGGCGGCCTCGTACTTCTCGACAGTGAGGAAGGTCTGATGGGTCTGAAATGCAATTAGTTTAACTGGTGAGACCCTGCACAGTCATGGAAGGAACTTGTCTGCAAATATGTCCCTTGTGGCGTGCAGGCACACCTGCCAATATCATGTGTGAAAATGTAGTAGAATTCCATCCAAATTCTTAGGTGTTTCTATTTACATTCCAGGTAATGTCTTCAGAATGTTCATTTATCCAGGCTATTACACACCATGACTTTTTTAATTTTGTTTTTTTTTTTATTGTGCTATGTTAGTTCCTATCCAGTACATCATTAGTTTTTGATGTAGTGTTCCACGATTCATTGTTTACATATAACACCCAGTGCTTTGTGCAATACATGCCATCCTTAATACCCATCACTAGCCTCACCCATCCCTCCATTCTCCCCCCACAAACCCTCAGTTTGATTCCTGGAGTCCACACTCTCTCATGGTTCATCTCCCTCTCTGACTTCCCCCCTTCACTTTGCCTTTCCTTCTCCTAATGTCCTTAGAAAACTGGGTGATCTTAATGTTAGAGTTGATAGCAAATTTTGCAAATGGGGGTGGAGAAGAGATAGAGAAAAAAACTCAAAGACATGTTTATTGATCTATATTCCAAGACTTTCTCTAGTTACCTCAAGACTTGGGAAGGAAAATGGGAGAGTTTCTTCATCTTTCCTTCTCTGGGTAAATGAATTATGAGTAAATATACCTCCTGAGTGAAAGAACTGAAAAGAATGCATACATCTTCCCTGTCCTCGGGTGCTAAAAGCAATCCCTATACTTTGTCATAATGGATTGCTAGAAAGCACGTCAAAAGCAGGTTATATTTTTCCCATTGGAAAATAGCTATAATAATTCAGTTCAGACCAAGAATTCTGTGTCAAGTAAAGCACAGATTTGAATAATATAACAAATTAAAAGATACAGAGGCCATAAATCTCCAATTTTCCTCAAAAATCTTTAGATTGTGGGCCCTTAAGGGCAGGACTTGTGTCTCATTCCCTTTTACCCATTAAAGCCCTTTATATCTGTCACTTACAGGTCTAAAACTTTGCTGAATGAAAAGTTTTATACTTTCCATTACTTACACCTGGGCCGTGGGATTATTTAAAACTCAAATTACTCAACTGATAGGTTATAGTCAATAACGTTTTCATGATGATGGTGACTTGTGAAGAGAAGGGTTTCTGGCCATTTAGGGCAGAGGGACATTGGAGAGGCTGTGGATGGAGTAGGAGATTGGGTGAAACCTCATGGACAGGTGTAGAGTGTAGACCACAGAATGAGTCTAGACCACTGCATATGTGAACTATGTGGCTATCCTTTCCCCCCTCCCAACCCTAATCTCTACCTGAAACACAATTAGTTAATCCTAGTTACTTAATCTTTCTGGCCTCAGATTCCTCATCTGTAAAGTGGGGACAATAAAATGTAAGTAGTAGGGAGTATAGTAGGGAGGATTAAATGAGATTAACATAATAATGTATGTAAAGCGTTTCACCTGGTGGCTACAAAGAATAAAACTTTGATGAATAGTGGTGAGGATCACTAACATAAAAGGGAAGAAAAATTGTTGTATGCCGAGTCCCAGAGCGTTCTTAGCAGCCAATGTTATTCTTGTTATAGTGCTTTAAGCATTTTGTTCTCCTGCTTCTCCAAGGTAATAACGATGATGGTATTTCTCCAGCCTAAGGGTATCAAAGGACAGCTAATCCTGCAGTTTTGCCATAACGCTTTGATATCTTCAGGAAACAATGCTATAAACATGCAAATATTACGGCACAGTTTGACCGCCTAGAGAAATTATTTCCAGAGGTGCATGTTGAATTTCCAAGCAGGAGAACATTTTTCCCCAGTGACATATTTGACGATGTCATATTGCCACAATTGTTATCAGAGCAATAAGGATATTTCAATGAACAGAAATGGAAGGCTTGTTTGGGAGAAGGGTGTTTGGGGTTCTAAGTAACAGTGGTCCCTGGGAAGAATGGCTCATGGATACAGAAAAAACAGCTTCTGCCACACTAAAAAAATCTGACCTTGAAATCACTTTTGTATACTTTCTTTTTCATCTACATATCTCTTTATTGTTTGAATTTTCACAACCAGAATATGCCTAGTTATCTTGTGGACTTATAAGAACATTCTTTTTTTCTTTTTCGAGAGAGAGTGGGGGGAGGGGCAGAGGGGGTGGGAAAGAGACTCTTACTCAGACTCCTTGCTCAGCAGGGAGCCTGACGCTGAGCTCCAGCCCATGACCCTGAGATCATGACCAGAGCCAAAATCAAGAGTCGGATGCTTACGTGACTGAGCCCACCCAGGGACCCCAGTTATAAGAACATTGTAAAGGAGTTACAGAGGAGCAAAATTGATTCATTTTATTAATAGCTACATTACCTATGTATACTTTATATATGATTAAAACAGTGAAGTGTGAATTGATACATAACAAACTATGAACAGTTATTACCTCTGAAAAGGTTTATGGAAAGAGAGGCACTTTCACATTCTATTTTAAAGCTCTTCTAGGGGCACCTAGGTGGCTCAGTGGGTTAAAGCCTCTGCCTTCAGCTCAGGTCATGATTTCAGGGTCCTGGAATGGAGCCCGGCATCAGGCTCCCTGCTCAGTGGAGAGCCTGCTTCCCCCCGCCCCCGCCCGCCTCTCTGCCTACTTGTGATCTCTGTCTGTCAAATAAATAAATTAAATCTTAAAAAAAAAAAAAGCTCTTCTATATGGTCTGTTTTTACATCAAACATGTATTTCTTGTGTCATTTTTTTCAAGATTAATAAATAAATAGCCCTTCAGTGCCGCAGTCAAGGGTCAGGAAAGGGCAGATGCAAGATAAAGCGCCCGGGCCAGGGCCCCAAGCCGTGGAGTACCCCCGCAGGTGCCCATGATCACTCTGGAGGTGGGACTGGAGGCTACCATGCTGGAGTAAGAGGGGAGGCAGAATTGGTGGGAAGGAACCAAGGATACATTTCATTCTTGGCCCTTTGCTTATTTTACCCAATTTAGTAGAGTTTCTAAATTGGAATACATAAATGAGATTGTGTTCAAATTTCTATCTTCTCCAGGGACAGTGTAACTCTTGATACCTCGTGCAATATGTGATTCTGAGCAGACCCGATTAAATGTTTCCTGTGCTTTTTCCCCCCAGACTGAATTCCATAGTACTCATCCTACGGAAAATTTCCCCATACCTAAAAAATACGATGAAAAGCAAATTGGAGCATTTTATCATTATGTCATTAATCTCCATAAGGCTATTCAAATGACAACTAAAAAGTGGATTTAAATCTGTCAAAAGAATCATTGATGCTTACCTCGTTTTCTGCTGAGTTCTTCGGGTTGGCGCCTACGAAGGTAACTTCAGCAACTTCTCCCTGAAGATAAAAACTTATCTTATGAGTTTGTTCTTCATCGTGCTCATATTTGGGCCATGATTTATGAAATGTTCAAGGATGCTGGACACCCGTGCAGATTCTATCCTACTTAATCAAATGAGTTATCTTCGGAGAATATTAGATAACACACCTTGCAACCATGGACATGGGAATTTTGGGCTGAGAAATTACTCAAGAATTTTTCACCAATGAATTCGCTTTTAGTACATTCAGATAGAGATGAAGACAATGCATTAAAAATGGCTTTTTCAGACTTTAATGTTGTCTCACACTTCCCTCTGACACACCTACAGGAAGGAGACTGACTCAAATCAAAGCAGTCGACACTTTCCCTGAATGACTTACACTTACACTGATGCTGGCTCGTGTGAAGTACAAAGTGGAATGACAGGATGTGTACCTACCTCCCCACCTGAAACAACAAACAAGCTGGGCAAATACATATTAAACCATGGCTCTACAGACAGCAGAGCAATGAAAGCAACCAAACGATGAAAACAGTGATCCTGGAGTGACAGAAAAGAGACAAAAGCAGCCCTGCCATGGCCCCAGCCTAATGCCCTCAGAGCGCACGTACAGCGTGAGGAGGCAGAGCTTAAGCAAAACCAGGAAGCTGATTGAAGTTAAGGAATAGATGTGGGAGTCCGTGAAGGCCAAATAGTCTCATATTCACAAGGCAAAGTCATAGAGAGAAGAGCATACCAGAGAGAGGAGAGCTACATACAGAGGGAACACTCTGGAGATCTGCAGAAGATTCCCCTCAACTCTGCGTGCAGAGAAGAGGACCACCTGAACCCAGGAAAAGAACCTATCAGCAGAGACTGAAATCCTTACTCCCTGAAGCATCTAAGCACACACACTGGTCAATATTGGGCTGGACATTAAGTTATTTAACCATAGGGACAACACCTTGAGAGCCAGAGTTAAATGTAAAATCAAGAACAACAAAAGAAACAGAGAAGACCCTGTAGCCACACATTGCAAGAGAGATAGACTTGACTGACTTGGTCCAGTCTAGTTTTCAGGGCGCAAACGAACAAAAACGACAACTCTGGGGGTGGGGGTGGAGGGCTAGGATCCAGAATTGGTACAATGTACCAAAACATATTCAGTATTCAACAGCAACAAAATGATGGGATGTGCATACATGAAAAGGTCACTCATACTAAGGGAAAAAAGCCCAGTCAAAACTGCGCTTCTGTGTCCTCGGATGTTGTAGTTAACAGACAAAGACTTCAAAGCAGCTGTTGTAAAGGTGTTCTAAGAACATTATAAGTCACGTTTAAAGAAAAAAATAAAAATAAAAGTCTGATGATAATTACTTTACATATAAAGAACCTCAGAGAAGAGACTTGTTAAAAATGGATTGGATATTCTAGAGCCGAAAGTCACAACTGACATGAGAAATTCACTAGAAGAACTTAATATCAAATATGAGATGACAGAAGAAAGGATAAGTGAACAAGAATTTATCAATATAAATTATTAGCCTGATGATGGGTATTAAGGAGGGCACAGATTGGAAGGAGCACTGGGTGTTATACACAGACAATGAATCATGGAACACTACATCAAAAACTAACAATGTAGTATATGGCGATTAACATAACACAATTAAAAAAAATAAAAATAAAAATCAATTATTTGGTCTGAAGAATGGACAGAAAAACCTGAAGAAAAATTGCTAGGACCTCAGAAATAAACAGGACATCAAGTATACCAACGTTCACAAACCACAAGTCCCAGATTTCGACGGCAGAGAGAAACAAACAAACAAAAAATTTGGAAGAAATAACAGATGAAAACTTTCCAAACTTGATAAATATTACCCTGCTGACCCAAGGAACTCAACAAATCCCAAGTAGGATAATCAAAGAGTGCTTCTCATTCAGATACATTGTAGCAAACTGGGGGCAGACAGAGGCAAATAGAGAATCTTGAAAGCAGCAAGAGAAAAATGATGCATTACATAAGGAAACTCCAATAAAATCAGCAATTGACTTCTCATTAGACAGTGAAGAACAGTGGCAACAAGAGAACATATCCAAAGTGTTAAAAGAAAAAGTTTCTCCACGAAGAGGGAGCAAAACTATCCTTCTAAAGATAAAGGGAGAATAAAGCTATTGCAGCTGAATAAAGCCCGAGAGAATTTGTTCTTAGCAGAGCTGTCCTCCAAAAAGAACTAAGGGAAGTTCTTCATGCTGAAAGGAAATGATGCTAGATGCTAATAGTAGTTCAAATTCCTAAGAAACAATAAAGATCCTCAGAATGATAAATATGTGGGCTGTTTAAAATATTCTGTGACTATGCTTTTCCATATCTTCTCTTAATCTCTTTAGAAGGCACGAGATTGTTTAAGACAATTAGTTATAACACTGTAGTATTGTATGTATATATAGATTCAACATATGTGACAACAATATCACAAAGGATGGGAAAGGAAAATAGATATATTGGAACAATCTTTTTATATTTTTTGGAATTGTTAGTATTATATTGAAGTAGGGTACAATTAGTTAAGATGTATATTGTAGACCTGTGATAAAATACATATATATTCATATATATATATATATATATATATATATATATATATGGACTAGATAGATAAATAGATAGTCTCTGTCCCCATCTCCTGGTACATAGCTTCTAAAACTCTTAGAATTCCAGAAGTGGTGTGTCTTTTTGTATGTAATGAAATGACCAGTGGCTGAGGGTTTCTGGGTAACATCGGGATGGAGGCTAGTTGTCAGGGAAATCAACCTTGTGATTAGAGGGTTGGAATTATCAAGTCCAACCCCCTGATCTCCAGGGAGGGAAAAGAGACTGAGGGTTGAGTTAGTCATCAATAGCCAATGAGTTGATCAATCATGCCTATATAATGAAGTCTGCATGAAAGTCCCTAAAGTCTGGGGTTCAGAGAGCTTCTGGATGGGTGAATGCATGAAGATTTGGGGAGGGTGGCTTTCCCGGAGAGCTCATGGAAACTTGGCCTTCCCTTTCCCTATATCTGCCTCTCCTCCAACAGGCTGTTCCTGAGTTGTAAGCCATGTATAATAAATCGATAACCTAGTAAGTAAACTGTTTTCCTGAGTTCTGTCAGCCTATTCCAGCAAGTTATTTAGCCCAAGGTCGGACTCCTGGGAATCTCCAATTTGTAGCCAATCAGTCAGGAGCAGAAGTGACAACTTGGATTCATCACTGGCATCTGAATTGTGTGAGGCGGTGGGAGTGGAGGGATACAGTCTTGTGGGACCGAGCCCTTAACCTGTGAAGTAAATGCCAACGCCAAGTAGATAGTGTCAGAATTGAACTGAATTACAGGACACCAAGCTGACGTCTGCAGAGAATTGGAGAACTGCTTGGTGTGGGGGAAATGTCCACATATACCACTGCTGCCAGAAGTACTGAAAGGAGGGAGTGCGGAAAGGAAATTCAGAATTCTTTTTCCTTTTCAATTCCCTAAAACAACTACTAGGAAAATAATAAAAAAATATATATAGTAAAACAAAACAAAACCAAACCAAAAAAACAGAAGAATAAAAAAGGTATACTAACACGTAAAAAGAACCTAAGCTTCCATTTTAAGAAATGAGAAGAGGAAAATAAAATCTAGGCAGTCAGCAGAAAGAATATAAAACACCAGAGCAAAAATCATTGCAATTGAAACAGGAAAAATGATAGATAAAATCAAGGAAGCTAAAAGCCAGCTCTCTGGAGACACAAACTGTCAAAATCATGAAGAAAGAAGGGTCATTGTTGTTGACCCTATAGAAATGAAAAGGATTGTAAGAACATATTGTGAACTTTATCCAAACAAATTAGACAATTAACATAAAACAAGCAACTTCCTAGGAAGATGCAAATTTTTAGGAAGATGCAGATTCCTCAAGACAAACTAAATGCCAGGAGGGATACATAATGACTCAAGAAAAGAAAAAAGAAAAAAACAAAAAACAGAAAGTCTGAATAAGCTTATGATAAGTAAAGAAATTGGAGCAGTAAATAAAAATTTTGCCAGAAAGACAAACATAGGTCCATGTGGCTTTGCTGATAAATATGACTGAATATTTAAAAAAATAACACCAATATTTTCTATGAACCTCCAGAAAACACAGGAGGAAACACTTGCTAACTCATTCTTTGATCCGAATATTATCCTGACACCAAGAGCAGCAAAGAGAACACGCGAAAAGAAGACTGCAAATGTCCCTCGTGGGCATGAGTATAAAACTTCAGCAAAATATTAACAAACCCAATTCAACAACAGATAAAAAAAGATTCTATACCATTAAGGAAGGGTATTTATTTAGTATCTGAAAATCAACTAATACAATACACTACCTTAATAGAATAAAAGACAAAATCCTACATGATCACCTGAGCAGACATGAAAGCATTTGGAACAAATCCAACACCCATACTTCATTAAAAACAAACAAACAAACAAACAAAAAAACTTGGCATACAAGGGAACTTTCTCAACTTGATTGATTAAAGTCATTTATAAAAATCCTAAAGGAAACATCATACTTAACAACTGAGTCCTCTTCCTCCTGATTAGAAACAAGAGAAGGACGCCCAGTCTCACAACACGTCTTCTACACTGTACTGTAGACTCCAGTGCATTAAGGAAACAAAAATTAAAAGCCTCCAGAAAAGTAATCCACAAAGGAGCAAGTAAGCTTGCTTTTATACACAGACGCCATGATAGTGTACGTAGGAATTTCTAAGGAATCCACCCCCCCCAAATCTCGTGGGACTAATAAGTGATTTAGCAAAGTGGAAGGACACAAGGTCAACATAAAATTGTAGGAGTTGAAGTCCTGCCTCATTGCTACGTGCTTTTCCTGTCCTTGATCTAAGAGAACTTTCTGAGCTCTAGTAAATGGTTCCACGACCAACAATTTGAGACAAAAAGAAGCACTTGGATTTTAGAAATTTGATTTTACATCATCACCACCTGGAAAATAAATATTTCCCCATTTCCACATCTGCGGAGCTCTGCAGTGTCAAGAACAACCATTATCAAATTGTTAGGACTTATCATTGCTAACAGCAACTTATCATTGTCTACAGCATGATTAGAAGCAGGGGTTGACATTAGACAGTGTCTTTTTCCCATCCTCAGACACAGGCTTCTGGAAGATTCCAAGATCTCTTGGGGAGTCTTACCACTCTGTATGTAGCTTGCGTGGGCTGCAGAACATCCCCAAAATTTTTGCCTTTCGGTGTTCTATCCGCGATATTAGGAATTAAGGACGCTATCAGTTGTTTGAAAAATGGAGGCTCTGGACCTCTGCTCAGGTTGGCTACTGTATCCTAGAACAGAGAGCATTTGCTTAAGGACCACACAATGTAGAGTCAAAGCCCCTTTCCCCAGGCCCCCACCTCCCAGAAATGCCTTCATTAAAGGAAACATGCACACACACACAGCGCCTCTCTCTAAGAGAGAACAGCTTTAACAAAATGTGGGGCAACTTTGCTAAAATGTGAGTCTAGATGTCCACAATTCAAACTTTTGTCACTAGAGAAAAGTTCAGGTCATAGACAACACTTTCACTCCCCCAGACCATGCAGTCCTGAGATTGGAGTGTAATTACTACACAAGTTTAGATTCTGGGACAGTCATTTTTCAACTACATGACTCTGGATAGGAGCCTAACATATGGTAAGCCTTCGTACCATGACATCGTGACTATCCTTTTAATTTTTTAAATGTGCTGACTCTTACCCAGAGTCAACACCAAGCTTTATTTCCCCCTAGATCCTTCTCTGTGCTAATTAAAAATACATATAATAAATATACTTTTAACTTAAAAGTTAAGATCTGCATATGCCCTGACTGGTTTAATCTATGTTTTCCACAAAATTTGTCATCTTTAATGGTGTCATTACAACATTAATCTCAAATTTTAGGGAATCCTTCATAATGGACACTGATCCTTTTAATAATTTAATCTTCTCAACAGCCATAACATCGATTTGCTGGCCTTCCCTTTCCACAAATGGGAACGTAAGCTGGGAGATACTCAGTATTCTTTTTTGAGATCTCATAGCTAATCTTAGAGAGAGAACCATAACACTGGCTGTGACACAAATTTTTACAAAACGAATCACACTTTCTCCCTACGTGTCACTATAAAACTTGAAGACTATTTCCGTGGAAGGAACTGTAGACATACAGTCATAATGCAAGTGAAGTCTGAGCCTATCCCTTGGGATGGGTTATATGTTTATTCTTTACTGTGTAATCAGAATATTCTAGGAGGAGTTACAGCTCTCACGATGAAAATTAAAGCAGTTCTACTTTGGTTAAAAAAAAAAAAAAGGACCAGACCTAAAATGGAGAGGAATGCTATGATAAAACAATCATCAGGCAATTAAAATACATCTTGGGACGCCTGGGTGGCTCAGTTGGTTAAGCAGCTGCCTTCGGCTCAGGTCATGATCCCAGCGTCCTGGGATCGAGTCCCACATCGGGCTCCTTGTTCTGTGGGGAGCCTGCTTCTCCCTCTGCCTCTGCCTGCCACTCTGTCTGCCTGTGCTCGCTCTCTCTCTCTCTGACAAATAAATAAAAAATCTTTAAAAAAAAAAAAAATACATCTTAAGTAGATACCCTGTAGTGAAATTTCCTATGGTCAGCAATTAGGTGGAGGCATATGGAATTGCCAATATTCAATTGTTTCGACCCACAGGAGCAGCTATATCATTTGTTTCCACTTGATCTAACCAAGCTCTGTCTCTGAAAGGGCTTTGTTGTCTTTGCTATGCGGCAATCGTGTCCCAGGCTTTACTGGTGCTTATAGGGTATTATATAAAGATCTGCCAATGATTTTAAGCCCTTTATCCTGTCTACTGGCTCATCTGCTGAGGCCAGAGTCAGCTTCATTGATACCTGCACTCCCAAAGAAAGAGATCCACAGGTGGGGTGCTTCTAATTCAACGTGTTGGGGTGTATATATTCTAGATCGATGCAAAGTGTACGCATTCCACAGTTACACTCCATCATTTCTCAGCCTCTAGTGCTCACAGCAACTGCCTTATTTTTGAGCCACCAAGAAAGTAAAAACATGTCACTGATTATAATCATAAATTTCCTCTGATGGGAAGATGCATCCTTGTTTCAGAGATGCTGTGGTATGGGAAATAGGCCTCTCAGAAGAATGACCTGCTCAATTCATGAAGTGATTGGAGAGACTCTGGCCAGGACTGGAGAACACTGGTCCAGACCCCGGCTACAGTTAGAATAAGCCCAATGACTCGCATCTCCAGACCACTTCGCTCATCTGAAAGATGGGGAGAAAATGATACCTCCCTACTTTCACAGGATGATCACGAAGATAATATGAGATCACATATGTGAACAAAGCTGTCACCACCATGAGATGTTAACGGCATCTGAATTCACTGATGGTTTTGTTTCTTAGAGCTATGTTGTAGCTACAAACTTTTTAAATACAAGGGGTTTGAAAGAAACTGAACGTTGGGAGCTCAAGTTTTCTTTTCTTTCACTCTGCATCTCCCTTCTCCCAAGACACACAAGCATATGAGTTTTGATTACCGTAGCAATGGCCTTAGCAAGGCCTTGGAAGAGCTGGATATAAGCGGACAGAGTGTGTGGTCCATAAATTGTAGATGCTGCCTCATACCGCTGAGCCTGCAGGAGACACAGGACTGAGTCTTACACCATTCTGTGTATCTCCACGCATTCACAGAGATGCAACGTCCTAGACGAAGGGTGTGAGGTTGGACATCTCACATAATTCAAACAAGATTAATCATGACAAAGGACGGTGGGCATTTCCACTTATCAGCTCAAATAAATGGCTCCCATCAACAATGGGTTCTCCTGGTTTATACCATGTGGACTCTTGGTCCATCCAATTTGAGAGAGGGGAATAGCTCCTGAGCTTAAGTCTATCTTAAATCTATCTTAAAATATAAATGCTGGCCTTCAAGGAGCACAGCAAGAGGGAAAAAATAAGGGAAGTGAGGGTCTCAGTAACTCCTGAGGAAATTGGGCATTGATGGTTCTGTCTGGAGAAGGACATTTAACCATCACACAGCTATAAAACCGAACAAGATACATCTCCTTACACTGAATAGCAAGCCTCTTGTTGTTCCACAGGAATCCTAGACTCATCAGATCTAAAGTGGAACTCATCACCCCAAAGACACCTGCTCTCCCTGCGACGTCCGTCATCCCAGCGAATGCCAACCTTCTGCCATCTTAGACTCTTCCCTCTCCCTCATCCTATATCCTGAAAGTCTCCAAGCGACCATTACTTGGAATCTCTTGAATTCTTTCATTTTCCTCTGTCTCTCCTGATCTTACTGTGGCCAGACTCTTGGCTCTCACCCAGATAAGGACAACTTCCTAATCAGTTCTTTGCCCCCACACTTGGCCTTCTAATTTGTTTTTCAACACTGTCATCCTAGTGACCTTTTTAAATCAAAATTTGATCAGAACACTCCTTCCTTGGAATTCTACTGCCATTTTCCAAAACGACCTCCTTCCTTATTGAGGTCAAGCTTTGTAGCAGAGCATAAAAGATGCTCTACCACTGAAAACCTCCCCATCAACCAGCTCTCATCTCCCTACTCTCAACTACTCATGGCCCCTCAAACATACTAACTCAGCACCCCCAGACCACTGCATGTCCAGCTTCTTCCTTATGGGATTCCTCCCTCACTTTTATTTCCCTAACTAGTCCTACTCATTCTCAAGAACTTAGACAAGGGTTACATCTTCCCGAAAATCTGCAGGTCTCCATTCTCAAACACCCAATAAAGACTAGTGCACTTTCTCTTTCTTTTCCTATTACCTTATGCATCCCTTTTACAGTAATGAGATTACTTGTTCTTCTTTGCCTTTCACTAGATCCTAAATCCTAGTACTCTTGAGGGTAGGGGCGGATTTTTACTTATTGTTACGCCCAGATAGTGCCTAGTACAGTATCTGTCTCAACCCATATCTGTTGGATGAATTAGTGAATAAATTAATATTAATCCTTGAAGGAACATGTCCCTGAGAGACATTATAGGCGTTCCTAACCTTATTTGTGCCCTGGACTCCTATAGCAGTCTGTGGAGCCTGTGAACCCCTCTCAGAGTAAATGTTTCTAAATGTATAAAATGAAATACATTGTTGACAAAGGAAATGAATCAGACTGAAATATATTTAATCAAAGAAAAATAAACCATGTTTGTGATAAGATAATGTTTGAAGAATAATGTTTGTCCTTCTTTACTGAACAAGAAGTAATGTTTGTGCTTTACTGAGTAACAAGATCTAGTAGTGGATCTCGTAACTACTATGATTTTAAAATAGTGATGAGAGGGGAGTTGTTTCCAAATCTGCAATAACTCTCTGTGATATAAAAAGTATCTGTGGTTCCTATTGGTGACAAAGTCAGAGCTACTGTTAATATTATTGCCATTTGTTACCTACATTCCTAATTGAAGGAAATTCTACATAACAGTTACAGAGAAATGAAAAAAATGGATAAATGAAAAGTATTCTCATCCAAGTTTGCCTCAGTTAAGAACCTTTGTTCAAGAGAATTTCCTAGAAGGCAGAGAGTTTCAGGAAAGTCAATAGAGGGCCACAGGGCAGATGCCACTGTTGGCATCATGGGACATTTGTAAAAAAGTAGATTGTATGCCCCTGTCTGGACTGCCAAGAGATTCAAGCAGATATATCAGCAAACATGAACTATGGGAACTAGACGGTTCCCTTGCTTCTGACAACTACTGTTAAAAAGTACTTGGGGACACCTGGGTGGCTCAGCAGGTCAAGCCTCTGCCTTTGGCTTGGGTCATGATTCCAGGGTCCTGGGATCGAGCCCCAGATCGGGCTCTCTGCTCAGCCAGGAGCCTGCTTCCTCCTCTCTCTCTGCCTGCCTCTCTGTCTACTTGTGATCTTTCTCTCTCTCTCTGTCAAATAAATAAATAAAATCTTAAAAAAGAAAGTACTTGAGCTACTGTCTGCACTATTTGCAATCAAAGAAACATCACCTCTCCTAAATTCTCTGAGACTTTGTTTCTTAATTTATGTCATGGATATAATAAAACCCTACTCCAGTGCTTGTTGTGAAGATGACTGAAGATAATATTTGCAAAGTGCTGAGCTAGTACATTCAATAAATAGTAGTATCAGCAGGAGTTTTCTCTGCTTCAGGCACTAAAAGCACTATGGACAGTACCCCTGATGAAATACTTTATTTCAGAAAAAGTCGACATCAGTAAGACCCGAATTCTGACTTGAACTTGGAAAGGGCAAACCTAGAACACCCCAATACAACCTCTGGCTTATCATCCTCTCCTCTTTCCCAAAACAAAAGCATCTCTCAAAAACACCATTAAGGAAGTCTAGAAGGAAAACCTGCATTTGACACAAGAATCTTGATGAGGGGGTAGTTCATTTAAACACTGAGAACTTTCCACTTTACCTGGTATTCTTCAAAGGTGGTAATATAATGTGTGTACACGTTGCACAGACCCGAAATCACGATGGTCATATTCTCCATCCCATTGGTTGCAAATTCCTAGTGGGGGAAAGGTAGAGCCCGATAAAATTACTCTCCATTGTAATGTATATTATCAGCCCAGTTAAACTTAACATATGATCCTAGATGTGAGCAGTGGTGGTGGAGGGCGTCTCTCCTAACATCACTCATAATGATCAGAACTGCCAACGAATGTAGAAGTACAGTGAGTCCTTGAGGAAAAGTTAGAGCCATAACTACACTACAGTTGAGCAAGTCGACGGACCTATGAACATCTTAGTGATTACATTTGCAGGTGGAGAATTGTCTTATTACTGAATGACAGATATTTTACCCATCTCCTAAATGGATACTAACTAACCATAGTAGTTATTTCCAACTCCAAGTAATAAGATCTCTGTTGATTATGTCATTCTAGAACCACTTGCAATGTTTTCTGAATATAAGTAAATAGAGATAAGATACAGAACTCTTAACATGTGTTAGATTTTATTTAGACAGGACTTCATGATATTAAGGTACTTACGGTGATTTGGTATTTAATCCATAAAACCATCATCAACTTCTAAATTGTTAATATATAAAGAGCAATAAATTATTTAAACCTGATTCTAGTTCCCTTATAATCTTTAAGCTTGTTCTTATACCACTAATATTTCATAGTCACCTCTAGGTATTACTTTCAGGAACTGTGAAACTCTGGTCATCTCAGCAAAGATTAATTTAAAAGGTATCAGATTACAGGAATAGGGAATTCTTTTCTCTTCATCAAATATAAACGCATAGACATTTAATTTCATTTTTAACTTACAGCTTGAACTGCCTCTCGAAGTCTCCGTCCAGACATGGTCCTGAGTCAAGAAAACAGATTTATCTAAGTGTTTTCCTACTCAGATTGTATGCAAAAAATACAGGAAAAACTCAGAGTGAGAGACGGGTGTGATCCTGGCTCATAATACAATATGGTAAGTTTCATAGGAGCTCTACGGCAAAGCAAAGCAAAAATTGAGCTTTTTGTCCCTAACTGTCCTATCTTGAAAATAAATCCCAAACTGAAAGCAGACAACTTGTAGCGGGGAAAGGGAATCAATAAATATCACTGGCAAAGACCACAATCATTTTCCATTCTTTGTTTCAGCAGAAGTAAACTGTTCATGTTCTGTTAGTAAAAACTGAGGCAGGTGGGCGCCTGGGTGGCTCAGTGGGTTAAGCCGCTGCCTTCGGCTCAGGTCATGATCTCAGGGTCCTGGGATCGAGTCCCGCATCGGGTTCTCTGCTCGGCAGAGATCCTGCTTCCCTCTCTCTCTCTCTCTGCCTGCCTCTCCATCTACTTGTGATCTCTCTCTGTCAAATAAATAAATAAAATCTTAAAAAAAAAAAAAAAACTGAGGCAGGTAGAGAATGCATCGCTCCTGCCTAGGAAGAATGTATCATTTCTTTCCTTCATCGAAACCTTCAATAAAACAGAGCACTTACTACAGAAGAGGCCCACTTTGAAATGCTAAGGATTCAACAGGAGGAAACTTACATCCCAGAGAGGAAGATGGTCAGCAAGCAAATATAAGAAGTGAGAGGACAGCAGGTGCTATGGGGAATGTAAGGCAGGGTAAGGATGACAGGGGGTAGTGGTTGTTCTTGTGATGATGAGGCCGGTGCTAATGCTGTGGGAATACGGCCGTGGCGGTGGTAATGGTGGTGGTGGTGATGGTGGTGAGGACAGTGTCCTATGTCAGTACAATGAGCATCTCTGTTAGAGATCCGAGCCGAGAAGCGAAGGAATAGAAGAGCCAGCTGTGGTGACGAAAGGAGGGTAAGTGTTTAGGCAGAAGGAACCAGAAGTTCATAAGCCCTAAAACAGGAGTATGCTTGAAGTGATGCGATGAAGCCAAGGTGGCTGAAGGAGGGGTGAGTAAGGGGGAGATGGGTATGAAATCAGATCAGAGAGGTTGCACAGGGAAAATCTCAATGGTGCCCTTGCAGGATGTTGTAAGGGTTTAAGAATTTACCCAGAGTGAGATGGGAAGCCATTGGAAGATTCTGAGCCCTGGCTAAACTTGGGTTTTCAAGGGATTTCCCTGACTGTAGTATTGAGAAAAGGCTATAGAGGAGTAAAGGGAGAAAGCAAGCAGGTGAGATGGGAGGTTATGGCGGTAACCTAGAGGAGAGCTAATGGTGGCTGGGCGGAATGTGCAGAATTTGCTGTGACACTGAAAGTGGGAGAAATTGAAAAGCGAGAGAATTCAGCGATGACTCCAAGGTTTAGAAAGATATAAAAGGGCTACTTACTGAAACAGAGAAGACTGCTTAAGGAGCAGATTTCAATCTTTCCTGCTTCTAATACTTCAACTGTTTCCAGTATCTATATTTTGATACTATTTCAAGTCTTTCTGCTGACATGGTAATGCACATCATTTACATTTGCAAGCAGTTTTTCAAATGTTTGTTTGCTACAATTTACCCACTAGAAATACACAGCAAAAGATTTACTCTTCAGAGGCACACCAAAAGAGGGTTGAAATATTTGTCACTGTTGCCAAAATGGCAGCGTGAGATACAAAGGAGTCAGTTCAGAATTATGGCCCGTGAGAAGAAGCAATTCCAACAGAAACACATACACTATGATTACGTTTTTAACTACAGAATAACAAAGGAGACTTACGTAAACTCCCCAGGGATGGCAGTTATGGCCAAGTACCCAATCGTGACAATCTGAACATCAACAATATCTGGGTGCCAGGGGTGAGGTTTTGTCAACTAAAAACCCAAAACATGAAAACTGTGTTAGGGATTTTGTTCTTTCTATGGGCAAAAGACAGAAGATGCTCACACAAGTTCCTTTATGGATAAAAAGATTGACAATGTGTCCAGCTGTTTTGGGTGCTTTAGCCTATCAGCACAGACCTTCTATCTAATGAATGAGGTAGTATGAGATCCTCAAACTGGTCATAACATAAGGATCTCAGATGTATTCACCTGACTTCCTTCCTCATCAATGAAGTTGTTGGTGGATCTGGTGTCCTAGAATCACAATGTGTAGCAGGTAACCAAGGGTTCTCTTGGAGCACCGTGGTGACCATCCTTGCCAAGATGGATATATAATTCTACATTTGGAACAGCTTAACTTAATCATTACTCTTTGTATTCTCATAGCACTTTAAAAATTTGCAGTTACCAAGTCTTGCCTTACTCTCCCAAGTTTTCTCCAAGACAATCTACCCTTTTCCTTAGTCAGATTAGTGTAGAAGCTCTCCCTCTATTCCTTTCTTTCCTCTTTCTTTTTCCTGAAGAATTTCAATTGAATGTTAGGGAGGAAAACTTTACTCAAAAATATTTTCTCCATCAGTAATTTATATTACAAACACTGACACGGCCTTTTGATGTTTAGAATGTAAAAAATCCATGGTCCAAAAGGAGTATTAAAAGACTATTGCTTTAGTTGATTGTGTTGTCTGAGTTGTGAGAAAATTGAGATATGAACATGTCCCCCTTTTTTTTTATGACCTGAGGATGTTTTCCTCTGCAGAGAATTATATGTGAACTCCTGTCCTGGAGTAAATAACAATGAATCCTGAATAAGATATATGTCGATTGAATTCTTCCTTTACCACTGTTTTCATCATTCTAGTTATTTATCATAAATTTTAAGTCACAATACTTAATAATCATACCCCTTATGCCTTAGATTCTTAATGTACATATTTTTAATATTAAAAATTTGATGTGGGAATATCTAAATAAGAACTCTGTCCATAAGAGCTATCATTTGTCTCTCACAAGTTCTGTTTTAAAATAACAATATACTAATTTTACTATGATAGTCAAAATGCATTACCTCTCCAGTGTGAAGGAGGATTGGCTTTGGTTTATGACACTCTTTGATTTCTTCAGATGGTTTGCCCAGGATTTGATCCCGAAGAGTGTCCCAAAATGGATCCCCTACTGTTGTCCCTATTTAGGAATGTTAGGATTAGTGTGATTCCAACCCTCTGAACAATGCCATCACTTTGACAAATGTACGACAATGCCTTTATTGCAAAGATTTTATTAAGGTTGTTGCCCAATAATTCCAAACAGTATGAATAATAGAAGAGGTAAAATTTCCTGTGCGTCCTAAAATAGGAGTCATTATTGAATTAGATCCCTGATGTGGCTGATAGAATAAGAGAGAGTATTTTGTTTAATGTCCTTAAAGTTTTGTTTCCATTGCTCTTCCTCATCTATGTTGCAAAGAAAAATAATACACTATAACTAACTGTAGATCTATGAATGAAATCACCTTTCCCCATTTGAAACACTAAAAATGACACCTCCAACTTGAAGTACTGATTGCTCGGCTTGTAGTCACAGGAAGAGGCTCTCTTAACTCCCCACTTATTTATCTACACAAAAATCACCCTTAAATGCCATAATCAGGGGGAAGTTATGTTAACTCCGAAACCTACAAACTTAGAATCTATAATCCATTAGGGAAATATAACAATTATAAACATGCATGACTTAACAATGGAGCACCAAAATACAAGAAACAAAATTAACAGAGATGGAGGGAGAAAGAGATACTCCACAGTCATGGTTAGAGCATTAATAACCCACCTGCAGTAACAGATGGGACAACCAGTCAGAAGATGGACCATGAAAATGCAAGCAACACGAGAAACCAAGCGGATGTACGAGGTACCTGCTCGTACCTCCCTCCACGCAACAAGAACATAACCGACACTTTTTTTTTTTTTAAAGATTTTATTTATTTATTTGACAGACAGAGAGCACAAGTAGGCAGAGAGGCAGGCAGAGAGAGAGGTGGAGGCAGGCTCCCCGCGGAGCAGAGAGCCTGATAAGGGGCTCGATCCCAGGACCCTGGGATCATGACCCGAGCTGAAGGCAGCGGCTTAACCCACTGAACCACCCAGGTGCCCCATAACCGACACTTCTTAAGTGCATACAGAACACTGCCTGGGACCGACCATATACTGGCCATGAAAAAATCCCAATGAACTTTAAAGGGTACAAATCGTACAAAGTACGTTTTCCAACCACAAAGTAATGAAATTAGGAATAAATCACAGAAGAAAATTTAGGAAATTCACAAATATGTGGAAATTAAGCAACACGATCATAGACAGTGGTCAAGGAAGAAATTAAAATATGAAAACACTTTTGGAGAAATACAAAGGAAGACACCGTATACCAAGACTTATGGGAGGCAGCAAAAGAAGTGCTTAGAGGGAAATTTATAGTGTTAATGCCCATATGAAGAAAAAAGGGGATAGGGACCTAGCAAGAAGGGAAAGAAAATATAAGCCTTTGTCACCCCACAGAAAAACCACAATTAGCGGTTCACAAATGAAGATAGTCCCAGGAGGGCTCCAGAGTCAATTAAAAACCTATAGCACAAAACATGGAATAATCACCCAGAAAGGACCCCTGGAAGGATTAACTTAGCTGAAACAGCGAGGAACAAAGAAGTGCAGAGACTCTCAGTCTCAGCCACATGGTCGATGCCGTCCCAGCACCCAGTGGCTGCTCCGTGGAGGACCCCAGCAGTCCCTGCCACTCCACAGCCCCCCTGACAAACACAGACCCCAGCCGCCTACTCCACAAAGGACACCAGCAACTTTCACGACTGGGATCGCCAAGAGCCATCACCGCCATCACCACCACCATGGACTGCCCCCACCCCAGGAGATGAGCTGTTGCTTCCTCACCCATAAGGAGCTTCTACACACCACCCCGGGAACAGGTTTGCAGCCCCCACCCCCAAGTGCCCCTGTTTGCAGAGCTCCACCTGCTCCATCCACACCCATGTCAGAACACAACATTGCAGGAGCACCACATGTGCCTGTGCTCCAGACCCTGGATCGGGAACTGCTCGGTATGTACCTGAATCATAGGCACTGGAGCCACCGCTGAGGGCTATCCTGGACACTGTCCTTGGCAAGCTCCTGTGCTCCAATCCCCAGCTGCACAGCTGCTCCACATGTACCCACAACTCGGGCGTGGAGCCTCTACTGCTGCTGGAGAGCCCGTGGCCCGGACCCTGGAGCTGCCCCTGCTCTATGAGCGCCTCTGCTCCAGATCGCAGACCTGTCACTGACCCATGGGCATCAGCCATCAGTGCCTCTGCTACTGTAATGGCACCCGCAAGCCCGACCGAACCCCAAGAGAGAGCTCCTCAGCCATGACAACCCCCCAGTGGGGAAAGAGATCAGGAGGATTTCAGCAGCAGCCTGGAGATCCCAAGAGCACAGATAGCAGCTGCAGACACCCACGGCCTTGGCATTTGAGGACCCATGTGATCTTTACCGGTGCTGACCTAAGCTAAAAAGGACTGCATGGACACTACGCCAATTGCCCTACCCTGGATCTGGAACTACCACGGCTCGCCCATCCTATATCACTGCATAACCCCCGAGGGTAAAGGTCCTTCCCCCGACAACCAGTCTGCAAAGTCTAAAAGAGGTGGCTTTATCCAATATACAGACAAAATTCAAGGCTCCGAGAAACAGCAAAAGTCAAGGAAACGATACCACCACTGGAACACAATAGTTTTCCAATAATGGATCCCAAAGAAATGGAGATCTATGACAAATAATTTGAAATAATTTTTCAAAAGATTTTACTTATTTATTTGAGAGAGAGAGAGAGAGAGCACAAGCAGGGGAAAGGAGCAGAGGGAGAGGGAGAAGCAGACTTCCCACTGAGCCAGAGCCTCATGGGAGGCTCCATCCCAGGACCCTGAGATTGTGACCTGAGCTGAAGGCAGAGGCTTAACTGACTGAGCCACCCAGGTGCCCCTTGAAATTTTTTTTTTTTTTAAAGCTCAACAACTAGAAGAGAACACAGTTAGACAACAAAACCAAGAAAATAATATATGAACAAAATGAGAAGTTCAATAGACAGACAAAATCACTAAAAAGAATAGAAATTCTGAAGCTGAAGAATATAGCGAATGAAATGACAACACAGTAAGGCACACCAATAGCCGATTTGATCAAGCAGAAGAAATAATCTGTCAATTCAAAGACAAGTCATTTGAAATTATCCAATCAGAAGAGGAAAATAAAAATAAAAAAGAGTGAAGGAAGCCTACATGAATTATGGAACAGAAAATGCTAAAGGGAGTTCTTCAAACTAAAATACAAGGATACTAATAGTACATAAAAGATATGAAAGTATAAAACTCACAGGTAAAGGTAAGTACATAATTAAATTAAGAATACTGTAATACTTTAATGGTAGTATATAAATCACTAAACTCAAGTATGAAGGTTAAAAGACAAAAGTATAAAAAATAACTAAAGCTATGGGCACCTGGGTGGCTCAGTCATTACATGTCTGCCTTTGGCTCGGGTATTGATCCCACGGTCCCATAGTGAGCACCACGTAGTGTTCCCTGCTTGGCAGGAAGCCTGCTTCTCCCTCTCCCACTCACCCTGCTTGTGTTCCCTCTCTTGCTATCTCTCTCTGTGTCAAAAATTAAATAAAAATATTTTTAAAAATAAAAAAGTAAATAACTAAAGCTACAATAATCTGTTAATGGATGTATAATATAAAAAGATGTAAATTAGGGGCGCCTGGGTGGCTCAGTGGATTAAAGCCTCTGCCTTTGGCTCAGGTCATGATCCCAGGGTCCTGGGATCGAGCCCCGCATCGGGCTCTCTGCTCGGCAGGGAGCTTGCTTCCTCCTCTCTCTCTGCCTGCCTCTCTGCCTACTTGTGATCTCTGTCTGTCAAATAAAATAAAATAAAATCTTAAAAAAAAGATGTAAATTATGACATCAAAACACATAAGATATGAGAAGAGGAAATAAAAGAATAGCTTTTGCATGCAATCAAAGTTACGTTATCAGCTTAAAATAGACTGTCATAACTACAGGATGTTTTATGTAAACCTCATGGTCATCAAAAAGCAAATACCTATAGTAGATATGCAAACCATAAAGAATCAAAGCACAGTGCTACCAAAAATCATCAAATCATAAAGGAAGACAGCAGGAGAGGAAGAAAGAACAAGGGAATTACAAAACAGCCAAAAAACAATTAATAAGATGGCATTAGTAAGTACTAACCTTTATTTAACTACTTGAAATGGAAATGGATTAAATCCTCCATACAAAAGGTATAGAGTGATTGAATGGGGTAGGGGGCAGACCCAACCTTATACAGCCTACAAGAGTTCGTTCACTTCAGCTTTAAGAATATACATAGGCTAAAAGTGAAAGGTTGGATTAATATATTCCATACAAATTGAAACCAAAACTGAGGAGAAGCATCCTTATATCTGAAAAAATAGACTTTAAATAAAAAACTGAACAAGAGACAAAAAAGGTCATTATATAACGATAAAGGGGTCAATTCATCAAGGTGATATGACAATTGGAAATATTTCTGCACTCAATGTTAGAACACCTAAATATATAAAACAAAGATGAAAGGATATGAAGGGAGAAATGAACAATACAAAAATAGTAGGGATCTTTTTATCCCACTTTCAACAATAGAGAGATCACCCTGACAGAAAATCAACAAAGAAACACTGGACTTGAACCACACTTTAGACCAAATGAACCCAACAGACATATACAGAATATCTCATCCAACAACAGCAGAATACATATTTTTCTCAAGTGCACACAACACCCTCCATCTGAGAGATCATACATTAGGTAACAAAACAAACCTTAGCAAATTTAGAAGACTGAAATAATACCAGCTGTTTTTGGTGATGAAACTAGAAATCAATAATAGGAGGACAACTAGAAACTTCACCAATATGTGGAGATTAAACAACACATTACTGAAGAACTAATGCATCAAAGAAGAAATCAAAAGGGAAATGACAAATAACTCAAAACAAATAAAATTAGAAACACAATCTACCTAAACATATGGGGTCCAGCAAAAGAAGTTCTGAGAGGACAATTTATAATGCTAAACCCCTACATTAAGAAAAACAGAGGAGCACCTGGGGGGCAGTCAGTTAAGTGTCCAGCTCTTGGTTTCAGCTCAAGTTGTGATCTCAGGCTCATGAGATTGAGCCCTGTGTCAGGCTCCGCGCTCAGTGAAGACTCTGCTTGAGATTCTTGCTCTCCCTCTCCCTCTGCTCCTCCCCACCATGCTTGACTCTCTCTCTCTCTCTCTCCCTAATATGAATAAATACGTCTTTTTTTTAAAAGAACAGAAAAAAGAAAGATAATAAATAAGCAACCTAACTTTACACCCCAAGGAACTAGAAAAAGAAAAACAAAACCCAAAGTTAACAGAAGGAAGGAAATAACAAAGATCAAAGAAGAAATGAATAAAATAGAGACCAGAAAAACAATTGAAACAATTAATAAAACTAAGAGCTGGGGGCACCTGGGTGGCTCAGTGGGTTAAGCCTCTGCCTTCGGCTCAGGTCATGATCTCTGGGTCCTGGGATTGAGCCCCACATCGGGCTCTCTGCTCAGCAGGGAGCCTGCTTCCCCCTCTATCTCTGTCTGCTTCTCTGCCTACTTGTGATCTCTCTCTCTCTCTGTCAAATAAATAAATAAAATCTTAAAAAAAAAAAACAAACTAAGAGCTGTTTTTAGTTTTGCTTTGGGTTTTTGGCTTTTGAATTTTGTTTGTCACTAAGAAAGGTAAGAGTAGATGTTAGTAGATTCCAGTTCTATAATGTCAAGAATTTTAAAATTTAAGAATGGATTGGTTAAAAATTCTTCATATTTGAAAAACCTGGACTCAAATATCTTAAACTCTTATTTGTGCTTTCTTCCCCTCCCCCTTTTAGTATAAGGTGTTTATAGGGTGAAAAGTTGGCCTGTCTCAACTTCTGAATCTTATTGATAAGATTCTACTCCTTGCAAAGGAACACAGCAGGCTGGGCATGTTTGCGCATGTTTGCCAAGACTGGGAGCCCGTCCCAGAGTGTAACATCTTAACATGAGCCATGTTTTAGGGAGAGAGGCCTCTGCCCATTTCTCTGGTCGAAAACATAACAGTTTCTCTCAAAAGAGGAATGATAGTGTGTCTTCCTGTTAACCAGTCAGCACCCCTGAATCCCCAATTTCAAAAAAGTCATAGCCAGAGCAATAAGGCAAGAAAAAGAAAGAAAAGGCATTGAAATTGGAAAGCAACAGTAAAATCATCGGATGGAGAAAAACAAATACTGGAGGTTCTCGCTTCTACGTGGCCAAAATCATAGAAATGAGAGTAAAATGATGGTTTGTCAGGGGCTAGAGTGTAGGGAAGATGGGATTTGTGCAAGAGTCAAAGGGTTTAGCCACAGAAAGGAATGAACTACTGATAAATTGTACAACACAGATAAACCTCGAAAGCATGAGCTAACAAATGCCACATTTTTTATGATTCCACTTACAGGAAATGTCCAGAATAAGAAATCAGAGAGACAGAAAGATCAGGGATTGCTTAGATCTGGAGGAGATGAAGGTAGGGGGTTGTGAGAGCTAAAGAGTCCAGGGTTGTTTTTTGAGGTGAAGAAAATTCTCTGAAATTGGCCATGGGGATGGTTACCTATATCTGAAAATATACTAAAAACCACAGAGTTGTACACTTTAAATAGTACATTGTACAGTATGTGAATGCATCTCAATAAAGCTGTTAAAAATTACTATTCTAGGAAATTAGACCACCCAGGATGAAATATTACCAGGAAAGATAAGGCAAATGTCTCAAATTGCAACTATATTCATCATTTTGTCAGTAAACAGTTCCAAAATACAATATATAAAAAGCAGGAATGAAAGAAGCCGAAATGTTTCCTACAGGTGGGACTCAAATATTTTTCCATCTTCCCTACTTCACAGCGCATGTTACTACGGAGATGATCAGGATGAAAGTAGGAAGCCTACAATCCTCTGTCATAAATTTGTGGAAATGCACATAGAAAGAGGACTTGGCAGCCTGTGTCTGGGCTCCTGAAGACCTCTGCCTGGAGGACTCTGGGCTTCCATAAAGGCATTCATTAGCAGACGGTAGAGCGAGCTCCTATCATTGAAGGTACAATGACAATCCCACTCTGTACTCCTCCCAAGTCCACCCTCGTCCCAGACCTGTTAAAAACCATCCATCTGTAGACTGAAATGCAAGGGGAAGCTGTCTCCAATTCCGTTTGAATCAGTGGAAGCTAAGTTCCAGGAGACACGCATCCCTGGGAAATCTGGATGCCACGGACACACCTGGAAAGCACACACACCCCCATGTCTAAAAATAACAGTAAAAAACCATAAATGCATGGTGACCATTAGACCCTTCCAAACCCTGAAGCTTCAGAACCCGGAACCACAGATTTCATCTGACGGCACCTTACCCTGCGTAAAATTGGGGTTCCCGAATCCATCGATGGTCCCAGCCGCAAAACTGTAGCCCAGTGCGGGTTTACACGTTTTTGCCTAAAGGTGAGAGTTTTAAAACAACACAAAAATACAAAGTAAACACAAACAAGAAGAAGTTAAACTTCCGGTAAGTCATGAGATCAGACCACAGCTTTACCTCTGGGTCATCATCGCATGACTCAGTGATACTTACTGTGTGTGTGGAGTTGAGCTGGACGGTGACATCCGTCATATTCACCCACTGATGAGCTGCAACCAGTGGTCCCGTGACCTCCTGGGAGGCGGAGTCGTACAGTTCCTAGAAAACCCACACAGGCTTACTGTTAGTAGCAAAAGAGCTCAAATGAATAGTACCAACTGTGCCCAATAAGTACCATTTGGAGAAGCATCTGTCCGCCATGTTTTGTTTTGTCGGCTGCTTAAAATGGCCACTACCCACGCAGGTCTCTCTGCCTACCCTCATTGCTTCCCGGATGCCCCGCGTCCCTGAGACCTGGACCTGTGTCCACTCCCCCACAAATGGGACAGTCTAGTGATACAGGCTGTGGCACAAAAGTCCTCCCTTGAAAGACAGTCAAGAAAATTTAAGATGAGGAAGAGGCTCTCTTTGCCAGGATAAGAGCATAACCTCAGGGATTCTCCCTCAGAAGCGGGGAGTCCTCTGACAGGGCTGGCACCAAAGGGTGGCTGGAAAGACTCTGCACTCCCCCACCATCCACCCTTTGAGGTTCCTCCTTTTTTTTCCTGTAGGGTTAATTGATGCTTTTTCCATCTCATGGGAAATATGAGTCAGCGTTTTAGAAACAGCTTGTCCCACCTTACCACATGCCCCTTTTCCTGACACCTGCCTGTCTCCCATCCCCAATTTGACAGCCAAGTGGGGGGGGGTCTTGGAGAAAGCCCAAGTAAGAAAGCCCAGTAACACCAGCTGCCTCCCTGATTAGGAGCGAGGTTGTCCTTACTGAGAGAATCTGGAATGTGGGACAATCCCTGTGACTCCCAAGCCCAGAACGGTAACAACATCTGACACCAAACTGTGTCATGGGGGCGAATGCTAAATAGAATCGATTAATCTAGAACCATCCACTGATAATACCACAGTAATTAGAAAGAAACTGTAGCAATAAGGCTGGCTGGTGCCTCACGTTTTTAAGGGTGCTTTAGTTCTTCCTTCATTGCTCCTGAGACATTTCAGGACCCCGGAGCAAAATATTTACTGAAACACATGCATGGGCTCACACATACGCAACAAAGGTACGAGTTAGCCACGCAAAGGAAGAGAGATCCAACCATGGGAGAGATCTCAGCTTGAAGTCACCCTCCATCTTTTCATTCAGAAATCTGCCTCCAGAAGAGTGGAGGCAAAATATGGGGCCACAATTTCACAGAGGGAGAAGCAGAGAGCAACTCTTCATAATCTCACTGCAGACCAGATTCACTCCTCATCAAAAAATATCTTAAAAAAGAAAAGAGAAGAAAATAGAAGATGGACACTTGGGGCATATTGAAGACTAGGAACTAATCTGAAGGCAAATTGCAGGCATGGGGAGCAGTCCTGCTCAGTGTGGCCTTGTCACCAAAGATATTAAGAACAGTCAGGAGACAGGGCAGCAAAAGCCAAGAGAATCTGGATCAGTCCGGTCTTGCCAGACTCCATGTTAGCTGAAATTTTACACTCTCTATCACCGTGCCGTCTGAGGCAGGCACCTGGATGGAAACAGGATGTTTTCCCGAATCCTTGGTTTTAAAAAAGACTTCCTGTAAGAAGTCAGATGAGCCGTCAGAGAGACGTTCCTGCATGCCGTTGGAAGCAGCCTTCCTAGAGGGCCAGTGCCAGCCAACTCCATGGCCAGCACAAGCTCTCGCTGCCTCTTACCATTAAAGACTTCCTCGTGAATGCTGTCGGTGGGTTTTAAAGAACAACGTTAAATGAAGGTGAAAGAAGTGGGGCCCACGGCTAACCTTCGCTCTCTCATAGATTATCCGTCCTATAATCTGCGTGCTGCGGAGCATGTCCTGTCCGGGTCCCATAGCAACGCACATGCTGGGCTGCAAGACAGGGAGATAAGACAGATGGGCGGTGAGGTAAGCCGAGGGTCCAAGCTGAGGATCCAAGCGGCATTGCAAGGGAGGCTAAGTCAGCGGAGTTTCTAAGCCACATGCTAGCACTTCTGGTCAGATAGTCTCTCAATTTACAGATTATGTAAAGCAAAATCATTCATGGCATTGGAGCAGGGAAAGTCTTCCGAAATTGTATTGTAGCAACTTTTTTTTGTTACTTTTTAAAATTAAAAAAAAATTTTTTTTATTATGTTCAGTTAGTCCCCATGCAGTACATCATTAGTTTTTGATGTCATGTTCCATGATTCATGGTCTGCGTATAACACCCAATGCTCCGTGCAATACATGCCCTCCTTAATACCCTTCACTGGGCTAACCCATCCTCCCACCCCTCTCCCCTCTAAAACCCTCTGTTTGTTTCTCAGAGTCCACAGTCTCTCATGGTTCATCTCCCCCTTCCAATTTCCCCCAACTCACTTTTCCTTTCCTTCTTCTAATGTCCTCTGTGTTATTCTTTATGCTACACAAGTAAGTGAAACCATATGATACTTCTGACTTTCTCTGCATGACTTATTTCCCTCAGCATAATCCCCTCCAGTCCCACCCATGTTGATGCAAAAGTTGGGTATTCATCCTTTCTGATGGCTGAGTAATATTCTATTGTATGTATGGACCACCTCTTCTTTATCCATAAACAAGGAGCACCTTTACAGATTAGGAAACTGAGGCTCAGGTGGGTTGGATGATTTGTCAGGGACGGTACAAGTAGCTAATATCTGAGTTAAGACCTAAGCAAAGTTCCCCACTGGCTGCATATCTTCCTACGTGTTTGTTCTTGCCTGTGATTGCCTTAAATTGAAACTCAGTTAAAATTATACTGGAACAACTATATGATCTTTTGTGAAAAATCAGTAATAAATCTGGCTCTCTACTTCACTTCTTATACCAGATACTTTTAAAATGGGCCAGATGGCTAAATATTATAATTGAAAATTAAAAAGTATTAAAAGATAATATGGATGACTACCTTCTTAATATCTTTTGATTCATCCATATTGAGTTGGGTTTTTCTCTTATTTGCAGTCAAAGCATCCTATATGTGTGGCAAAATTATCACATTGTACACCTTAAAATTATATAATGTTGTATATCAAGTTACATCTCAAAAGAGGTGGGAGGGAAAAAAGCAAAAAAAAAAAATCCTAATGGATACACAATAGAATATAGATGAAATAGGTAATTTGGGGCTCCTGGGTGACTCAGTGGGTTAAAACCCTGCCTTCGGCTCAGGTCATGATCTCAGGGTCCTGGGATTGAGCCCTGTATCAGGCTCTCTGCTCAGTGTGGAGCCTGCTTCCCCACCCTCTCTCTGCGTGTCTCTCTGCCTACTTGTAATCTCTGTCTGTCAAATAAATAAAATCTTTAAAAAAAAAAAGAAACAAGTAATTTGCAAAAAAGAAGTGCAAGTGGTCATTCAACATAAAATATTTTCAATCTCATGAATAATTAAATATAAATTTAAACTACAAAAAGAGAACTCTTGGAGTGTTGTGTTGGTAAAGACTGAAAGGCTGATAAACCGGGTATCAGTGAGGGTTTGGGGAAATTGTCACTCACGCTCTGCAGTGGGGTGTTGGAGGGGAAGGGACTGATGTGTACCCCCTGGGGCTGTGCTGTCTTTCTCTTTGACAACAAATTCACTTCTAAGACTTTGTCCTAGGGGCATCTGGGTGGCTCATTAGGTTAAACTTTGGCTCTTGGTTTCAGCTCAGGGTGGTGGGATTGAGCCCCAGAGCCCCACATCAGGCTCCGTGATCAGAGGGGAGTCTGCTTGAGAGCCTCTCTCTCCCTCTGCCCCTTCCAAATAAATAAGTAAATCTTAAAAAAAAAAAAAAAAAAAAAGAATTTGTCTTAAGTGAGACTCATAGGCATGTGAAAATATGTACGACACACAACACAAATAGTGACCAGAGCATGTTTATGTGATGGAAGGAAGAAAAAGAAGGGAAAGAGGGTGTGAAGGAAGAGAGGGAGGGAAAGAATGTTCTCATCAGTATGGGACTGGTGGACTCATTTATGGCTGAAAACTATGGCATTAGTTTAAGTGATGTTTTCAAGTATATTCACTGGAAACAAGAAAGCAGGTTCCAGAACAGCTTTATGGTAGGACCTCATTTATAAACAACTCTACATGAAGATAAGTGCCTGGACACAGAAAATGCTGTCTGTAAGGACAGTCATTAAATTTTTAACAGGTTAATTGTGTTAGCTGTGTTAGGAGCTTCTCGTTTACCTGTTTTGTTTTTTGAACTTTTCAATATTATTTGAATTTTTAACAAGCATATATCTTTTTTTTTACATCAAAGCTAGTTTCTAAAGTTAAAGAAAAAATCTGCTTGAAGAAGCAGTGTTAAAGCAGAAGACATTGCAACATTGCCCTCTTTCAGTTTCTTAAGCGAATCACGATTTCGTTCAGAAAGCCATCTCTTCTTTAACAGTCAATGATTCCGTTTTCAGTTCCAGATAAGTTTAAGATGATCATGGCCATTCCCTAGGCCTTGCCGAAGACTGGGCAGAAACCCCAGTTCAAGCCAATCAACACATACCATTTCCCCAGCAAGTGCTTTGGTCCAGGAATGAGTATGTACCTCCATTGACCCAATCGAAACCAAAAAGAACTTTTATTCCATGGTTAGAAGAGAGGTTTTCTCTTCTGCCGTAGATGTGGGGAGAAAAGGACACCCTTCCCTTAGTGCTGATTGCCATCTTGCAAACATGAGGGAAGTCAATCTAGCAGATGGAACAGAACAGAGAGAAACAGAATTCTGTTGTGGGAGAGGGTGTGATTTTGTTGTAATTTTTTATGATTACCAAGTATGTTCATGGTAGAAAAAAAATAAAAGCGTATAAATGGAATAAAAACAATAAATAGATAAACAGAATAAACACTCCCTGTAATAATGCCAAACAGAGAAAAACCAGGGTTAACAATTCAGTGTGTTTCACTTTGTCTTTTTACTGGGACCCATTTATTTCCACAACTACAATCATAAAGAATATGTGATATTAAATGCTGATTTTCTTAATCAAGATCATGTACTCTGAGCTTTTTCCCACATTAAGTATTCCAACCCAACACACTGAGTTGATGCATAATATTCTATTGCAAATAGATCTCAGAATTTATTTAAGAATTGCAACTCTGAATTTTGGAATTTAACAAGTAATCTTCAATGTGAATTCATAATGTGTGGAAATTCTGCAAATGAAGAATAACAAAGCCAGACTTTCTATATAAAAATGGTAATATATAATAAAAAGGTGTAATTGTTAAAACTATACTACTCATTGGGTGGCATTGACTAGAATAGAAGAAATAGACCAGAAATGATGTCTAATGAAAGGAATATCACAGTGACATGTTCTATAGACACAAAGAATAGCATCTTCTCCTCAGGTCAAAGCCAAAAAAAAAAAAAAAAAAACCACAAAAACAAAAACAAAAAACCTGTAAATGAACATGTCAAGGAAACAGTTAAATAAATGAGGGTACATACACGCGTTCTTGTTGTCTTTACATTTTTTTTTAAGATCTTATTCATCTATTTGGCAGAGAGAGACAGCAAAAGAAGGAACACAAACAGGGGGAGTGGGAGAGGGAGAAGCCGGCTTCCCACCAAACAGGGAGCCCAATGAGGGACTTGATCTTGGGGCCCAGAGATCATCACCTGAGCTGAAGGCTGACGCTTAATGACTGAGCCACCCAGGCATCCCTCATTCTTGTTGTCTTAAAAACCTACCACATAGACCTATATAGGGTCATAAGAAGATTTTCAAGACCTATGAGGTGGAAAACTCAAATCCCAGACCAATAAAAAAATCAATAAATAAGTTACAAAATTTTATCCATGAATACTTAGAGGAGTACATGAGAAGAGGTGTGACAGTCATAACTCTTCATGGAGGTGGGCAGGGAAGGAAGTGAACAGGACTCACTTCCTACTGCTGTCTGTGTTTTCCATGTCGTGTGAGTTTTTACAGCAAGATTTTTTGTTTGTGACTTTAAAGAAAATTTTAAAATGTCAATCTTATATTTTTTTAAAAATCTGGTAAAATTATCATCAGTGAAAAACATCTCAGGCAGGCAATTTCGGTACTGACTCAGAACATCAGAAATGCCAAGGCGAAATGTTCCAGACTGTCCAAGTTTGGGGAAGGGTATTGTATCTCTGACATTGGCTAACTGTCTCACCATTCAAAAAACTTAGTGGTCAGTCCAATGGGAAACTAGAATTTTATCCAATCATAATTTAGTGGGTGCTCCTGAGAAGAGCTAGAGCTAGCAGTTGGTAGGCCTGTGTACACTTGAGGAAAATATAATTATTAATTAATGATGGATATTTAAGCATAAAATGCATATGAGATACAAAAACAAAGATTTCATGTCACGATTACCTACCCCGCCAATGGGACAAGAGCTATTGGCATTATCACAGGACTCTCCTGTGTTGATGCAATGTGGGCCAAGAACATTGGGGGACACGTCTCCCAGGTTTGATGAAGCGAAGGCTGCTACATACGGCCCCTGCCAAAAGAAACATCCAAGTGTCTTTTATTTCTTCTTATTTCCCATAATGATGTCCATTAAAAATGCAGACATTCAGTTCACTCTGGTGAACTGTTCAAAATCATTTGCAGACAATTAAAAGGAGGAGGTATAACATTCTGAGAAAATTTCTGAAAAAAATTCACACAGCAATCTGCATACATATTGTTACCCATGATATTCCAATGATCAATAAAGCCATTTCAAGTAGGAGAGTTTCAAACCTGTGCCACAACAGAAACATTTTTGACAAGGAACACAGCCTACAACAACAAATTGTAAAATGCTGACTCATCAAGCTATTCTCATATGGTATCTGGAGCTCAGAGATTTTCCTTGAAAAATAAATATCCTACTGGCTTAAAAACAGTATAGTGAATCCAGATCTTCCTTTGGCAACATTGAACCTAAATATAGCATCCACCACCCAGATCTCCCTCTGTGTAGCCTTTCTCTTATCCCTTCAACCTGAAGTAACAACACAGAACGTTTCCGAGTGGTGCAAGACCCTAACCTCAATCCAGCTAGCTGGTCTACCATTCCACTTTCAGTGTCTTCAGTTTTCTTAGGGAGAGAGAAAAACAGGTGTCAGAGATCATATGTCTCTTTTTATACCAAAAAGATAACCTATCTCAAATTGCCTAGCACCCAGTAATCATAAACAGAAACTTCCTTTCTTTTCCCTAAAACTCAAGCTCAAATGGAAAAAAAAAAAATAGTATTGGGTCAACAAAGAGCTTAAAGATCATATCAAATGTACATGGAACCAATAATTTTTATATCATTATACACCTTTTAGATATTTATTCTACTCAAGGGTCTGGGGCTCTCATCCTCTTCTATTCTTCTGCATTTGGGACTTGGACACCAGGGTCAAACAGAACAGGGTCCCGCCACCACCACCTAGCTGTCTGTAGTCGGTAATTTACACAGCTTTCTGAAGTACATGGACTGAGTTTTGGCCCCCTCTCTAATTCCAGCCCTCATTGCATTTCAAAGTTAAAAAAAAAAACAAGTCTGGGGCATTAGGGCTGTCTCTGACTTTGGCCTTAGCGAAGGAAAGTAAGACAAACTCCTTGAAAGGAATTTCGCCATTAACAGGGAAATCCGAACCAGTGAAAAAGATGCATCACCTTGCCCTCAGTCGGGTTCTTAACACTATTCAGAAGGTGCTTAATACCTCCGTAGCTCTGAAAACAGAAGTAAACATCAACACAACTTATCCTATTTCCAAGTTGGTCAAAAACTATTCCATATTGCCAAAATCCTGAACTTGTCCTTCCTTATCCAACCAACTATAACTGGATGAAACCATCCATAGAAGTAGTATTTGACACAGTTAGCCATTTTTAATTTCTCTTTCCCTGTCAGGGAGGATGGAGAAATCTTCTCCAAGCATGTGAGTATGTGATGTCCATGATAACACTTGACACTGAGGATGTGAATCAGCTATTCTTTATTATTGTTATTATTGTTATTAATATTATTATTATTATGTTCAGTTAGCCACTGTATAGTACATGACTAGTTCTTGATGTAATGTTCAATGATTCATTAGTTGAATCAGCTATTCTGAGCATGGCATGAATGGTGATAAGTGGGTGAAGAAGATGCTTCCAATGACCCAAATTCTCACCTGTCCAGGTAGATAGCCTTTGTTCTTCTCTTGCTCAAAAAGGTACGAGGCGTAGCCCACGTTGTCGCTATTGACGAGATGATTGCTGTTGTTCATGCTGACCGGGTGGATGGCAAACCAGCTGTAAAAAGAATAAAGAGCCAGACAATGGGGGCAAAAACAATGACTGGGAGCTTATGTTTTCCCCAGCAGGAAAGGAAATTCGTTTTAATAAGAGGCATTCCGCATTTAGGTTCTTCCATTGTTGGGGAGCCCAAACGACTAGTCATATACTCCAGAAGTCTGATCATTTACTGAAATTTAAAATACAAAGCTCTATTTTTATAAATGTGTCGTCATCATCATCATCCTCATCATCCTCCTCAGTATCACAAGATTTAACAAGACCCAAGACTGGTCAGTGACCAGACGATATGGCTAAAACGCTGTATAGGCACAGACCCTGTCCTTTAAGACAGGTGCACATAATAATTATTAAAATCAATCCTATCTAATTCAGTAGACATTTACTGAGGTTCTGCTGTGTGCCAAGCACAGAATAAACTCAGTTTATGCTCAGAATCTTGCAGAAGACAAAAATGTAAACAAATGGCTTTAATACAGTGTGGCAAATGTTATAAAGAGATAGGCATAAAGTGTTTGGGGACTGCAGATGACTAGCAATTAATTCTTAAGGGCATTCCAGGGGAAAGGCACGACAAAGAAAGCACAGAGAGGTGTGAAAGAGGCTATTACACATAATTTGATGTATCCTTGTGCATAGTAATACCTCATTTAAGTGTAGAGCTACACAGTTTACCAACTAATTTCACATCTGTTACCTTACTTGAACTTCACAACAACCCTGAGAGCTAGACAGTCATTCCCTCCACTCCAAGTGTCTCAGAGACGCAAAATGGCAGCCCAAGACTGAAGTTCGCATCTCGGGAAACCTTGTCCAGTGGCCTTTGTAGGATCAAACCTCCACACAGGTGAAAAAGAGACCTACAGAATGGAGGGCTATAAAGCAAATTCACTAGAATGAATGTTCAAGAGAAGAGAGACACCCATTCCTAAAGTCTCAGGCCAATTTAAGATTTGTTAAAAAAAAAAAAATCCTTCATTGATGTAAGTCTTGCTGAAAGCTTTTTAAGCATCTCAGCTTACATTCCTACCAAAGTAATAGCGCTCAAAGCTGAACATTTACTTAATGACTAGGGATGTTTCTAACCCTCAAGGCTGTCATTCAGGATTCAGTCCTCATTGCCCACCTGATGTATATGTAGGTCAGAGACGGCCAGCACCACGCCCATGAAAGTTGGGCAGGCAACATGGATGGGTTAAGCTGGTTGATGGAATGGCGACTGGCATGAACTGTGGATACCTGGAGGCATGGTTGGAAGACCGTGACCTCTACCATGCTGCTTATGAGAGTCTAAGCCAATGCTGCCAGCTCTTGCCTACATCCATGGTTTTGTGAAATGTTTATCAATTTAAAAACTCTTAAAGAAGTAAAGGGCATGAGAGGGAAGGATTGGGAGGCTGTGCAAAATGGGGGAAAGGGAGTAGAAGACACAGGATTCCAGTCATGGCATGAATCAGTCATTGGTGTGAAAGGCACAGCACAGGAAATAGAGTCCATGGCTCTGTAACAGTGTTGTATGGTGACAGACGGGAGTCACACTTGTCATGGGCATAGCACATGGCATACAGATATTGTACATGGCATCACTCCATTGTATACCTAAAATTAATGTAACATTGTGTGTCAACTATGCTCAAATTAAAAAAACTGAAATTGAAAAAAAAGAAGAAAAGTAAATAACATAGGATAAAAGGAGAAGAATGGTTACCAGAGAAGAACCTTCAAACACATAGGCAGCAAATGTAGTTTGTGAACTCTTTGGATTCCGATTCAAATAAAAGGACTGTGAAAACTCTTTATTGGTACAAACAGGGAAAACTGAATATAGACTGGGTTTGAGATCATGTTAAGAAATTATTGCTAATCTTGTTGGTTATGATAGGGGATTGTAGTTATACTCTTTTTATGTTTTTACTGGATAGAGCTACACACTGAAATATTTATGAGTGAAATGATTTGATATCTGGTATTTGCCTTTTTTTTTAAAGATTTTATTTTTTTATTCGACAGACAGAGATCACAAGTAGGCAGAGAGGCAGGCAGAGAGCGAGACGGGGAAGCAGGCTCCCTGCTGAGGAGAAAGCCTGATGCGATGCGGGCCTCCATCCCAGAGTCCTGGGATCATGACCTGAGCTGAAGACAGGGGCTTTCCCCACTGAACCACCAGGTGCCCCCTGGTATTTGCTTTTAAAAGTCTTTTAAAAAACAAACCAGAAGTAGAGGAGGGATGGAAGAGAGTGGCAGAGAATTGCTAATTACTGAAGCAGAATAAGAGTTGAGTGGAGATTCATTAGGCTAATTATGCTAAATTGACATATATTTGAAAATTTCCATAAGAGTTTTTTTTTTCATGTTGACATCCATTTTGAATTTTTCTTTTAAACAGCGTTAGGCCAAATCACCAGTCTAAAGCAAAATTCAATCCCCAAGGTATGTCTTTGTTACGATGTAAAGGGACAGAAATTTAGGCTAAAGGGAATTCTAAGATCATCTCCTAGAAGTTACTTGCAGAGTTTCTATGTTTAAAAAAATAAAAAAATTTTAAAAACCCTTACCCTAGTTTCTTTGGAGTGTGTGTGTGGTTTGTCTCCTTCTCCTAAAACTCAAGTGCCAGAGAAAATTCTAGTCAACTAGTGTTTTCCAGGTAGCTGGGAGTCTGTTTTTGCAGTGTTACTCCATCTAGTTTGGAAGGGAAAGGGGGTAGAGGCCATGACAGCTCCTTGGCTCCTGGACCAAAATACTTGCGTCTGATAGGACTGCAGGGTCAGCCACATTTGGCCAGACTGCAACCTCTCCAGTGTGAAGGAAACCTATAGAACAATTTTGTCAACAATGGCTATCATTTAGCACTGATTAGGTGAAGGATTTTATGCTCAGGATCTCATTTCATTCTAACAAGAATGCTTTGAGTCAAATGCTATCATTGTCCTTATTGTAAAGCTAAGGAAATGACCCCTCCGAACAAGGCAGTAATCTGACCAAGGCCACCCCCTTGTAAGTCAAGAAGCAGGTCCATGAATATCCAGGTTTGTCAGATCACAAATCCCAAGTTCTTATCTGTCATGGGATACTGGCTCTGTTCCTCTGTTTCATTCACTGGCTCATTGAGTACACATTTCATTAACTTTGATTCTGTGCCAGGCGCTGGAGACATGGAGATGAACAAGGCGTCATCTTGTCCTTGAGGAATGCTTCACAGCGGGGGGACATCTGAGCTGGGTCTTCAGAGATGGGTAAGAACTTAGCAAGGGGATCACTGGAGAAAACTCATTCATAGCAAAGGCGTGGGGATGGGAAGGGGTATAGCAGGTTTGGAGGATGGATAGTTAATCTGGCCACAGCACAATGGGTAAAGGCGGGGAGACAGGACATGGCAATTGTTCTATTCATTCAATCAGCATGAATTTATTAGTAGACAAGCATGTGGTTGGATTGTGTTAAACCCCAATGAACACAGAGAGGAATCAGGTATGTCCCCTACCATCAAGGAACAATAATATCTGGAGAGAAAGCAAATGCTGAAAATTGTGATCTGTTAATTAGACTAAAGACTTGAATTCTTCTTGTTTTCATGTGTTTGCTTTCATTTATTTTAGGCCTTAGAAAATTAACAGAATTTTTTTCTCTATGAAACTGAAAAAAATAAGTATTTGAAAAAGTTATTTGATATTTCAGAATAAGAAGATGCGATATATTTCCTCCTCTGGCCTTTAGAATATGTGCTATTGAAATGTCAGGCTTGTCACAGCAACCAAAGTACTATGGCAATAGATGAATTTTTATAGAGATACACAGAAAAGCAATCATTCTTAGTTTAAGAAAGCTGCACTCATAATTTATTTTATCTGGTCAAAAAAATGTTCTTCAAAGCAGAGTTCAAAAGAGAAAAAGAAAGGTGAAAGTGATTTCAAAAGAAGTTAGAATATGGATATAAAAGGATATATATGCCCCTATTAATAAAACTCTAAAGGGGCGCCTGGGTGGCTTAGTCATTAAGCATCTTCCTTCAGCTCAGATCATGATCCCAGGGTCCTGGGATCAAGCCCCACGTCGGGCTCCCTGCTCAGCGGGGAGTCTCCTCCTCCCCTTCCCTCTGCCTGCTGCTCCCCCTGCTCATGTGCTCACTCGCTCTCTCTCTCTCTCTCTCTCTCTCTAATACATAAATAAAATCTTTAATAAAATAAACACTTCTAAATAATGATTAGGTCACAGCTAAAGCAGGGCCTTCTGGGGTTAGCAGGATACAATCAAGGTACCAGGGAAGGTCAGAGGTTTGAGATTTTATTCCAGTCTGTAGCACAGTTAGTTAAATTTCTGGGTCTCTGTTTCCTAAGACTGAACAGTAATAAATTTTGACTATGCTTTGTGACTCAATACAGAGCAAATTAATATAGACTATTCTAAGTATTCTCTCCTCCTGGGTCACTGAGGCATTTTCTAGGGCCTCTTTTAATTCAGATACTCTGTGCTTCTTACTCCAAAACAGAAAAAGAAAAGCCAGATGTGAAAATGGAGCTGCTTCCATATTCTAAAACAGTAACAAACCCACCCCAAGTGCCATTCTCTCCAACCTGGGCCACCACGTCCAGCATGAAGGTTGTGCCTTACATAGGAATGTGTTCCAAAGGGGTAAACAGAGGCTGAAATCCAGTCCTTGCCCGGCTCATAGAGCTCAGCACCTCAGTCAGCCCAGAGAAGGGAGTGCCTGTGTATGCTGTGCACGAAGGTCTTATGCACTAATGGCAGCCCTCTCCAGCCTAAATGTCCACCAATGGGGAAGGAGAATATTGTACATCCATTCAAAGGTAGTGTTCACAAAGATATGTAGTAGTATGGGATTCTTTGAGGTAAATACAATATAGGAAGCTGTAGTGGATTGAACAGCGCCCCCCCCCCCACCATATTCACGTCCACCAGATCCTCAGAACATGACCTTATGTGGAAATAGTCTTTAGAGATATAAACAAGGGAAAGAGCAAATGAAATCATATTGGCCT